CTAACTTGGAGGTATTTGAGTTGAAGACTGAGGTGGGCATCTGTGGTAAACTCCTCTTCACTACTGGAGTCGATGTATCTCGTACAGGCTTTGGGGCTTGATACAAACTGGCTGCCTTATGAGCAATTTTCTTGGCCCGAGCTTTCAGCTTCAACCAATCCGAGAAGTGAAGAAGATTGTAGGTCCTGTCTTTATCCAGACTCAGAATACCCTTGTTCAGGCAGTATTCAATAAATCCATCCCGGATGGTTTGTGGCAGTTTACTCAAAAGACAATCTACATGCGACCCACATCGAAGTTCAAAACCGTTGTCACCCTCAAGGGAACGAAGCATTCCAACAAGTGTATGTACAGAAAGAGTGAGATTTTCAAATGTGTCAAAGTCATTGTATCTCACAGTAGGAAGGTTCATGATCATGGCTAGTTCACTTTGGACCAACTGTCTTGGCTGACCATACGTTTCTTTTAGAGCTTGCATAGCACTAGTGTAGGGCTTCAAGTCATACAAGAAAGCCTTGGCAAGGCGCTTTGGAGAACCACCCAGTCTATCCAGCAGCACCTGAAACTTAAACTGCTCTGACAAATGGACGTGGCTATTTACAATACTGTCAAAAGCCATCTTGAGGACAGCAAAGTCTCTCTCCTTACCATTAACAAACGATGGCAGTGTAGGCTGGGGGATTCCATAGGATAAGGCAACCAATCGTTCTGTCATGTAAGGTTGATTAGGAGGCTGTGGTTCTTGGTGGGAAAGAAAGCTTTGTTGAGTATGGGAGTCAAACCTTGGGGAACGTGTCACATGCTGGACTTGAGGAAGCAAACCGGAATTAGATGGCAAATCGCCAGGTGTATGAGTGTAATTGTCAACAAATCCAGTCTGGATTCCACATTGAGGATTGATCTCAATACTCAATTCATTATCTGGAAGTAAGGATGTAAACACCGCTGCGTTTGGGTCCAGCAGAGACTCATGAGACAATGAGAGCTCAGTTTTAGGTGTCACAATGGCAGAGTTATGATCAAGCAACTGATCAACCAGTTCTACTTCTGCTAACATCCTCTCTGCTTGACGTACCTGCCTCTTACGGGAGACTTCCATCTGAAAACGCTCTCTTTCTTTCAAAGCTTTCCTTTCTTGCATCTGCGCCTGAATTCTAGCATGAATTATATCTTCCTCTGCCCTCTTTTGTGCCTCAAAAGCCTCATCTTCTACTCTAGCTATCAAAACATCTAAGTGTCTATCTTCACTCTGTCTACGTTTCAACTCCTCTAATTCAGCACGATTCCTTAATTTCTCGAGTTTTGCAGTTTGCTTTCCTGATAGACTTCTTATAACAGTGGTAAGACTGCTTGAAGAGTGTTTACTCACATTTGAACTTCCAGACCGATGTGAAGACTGAGATTTCCTTGACACTCTAGTTGACTTCTGTGACATTAGACCGAGTCCTCCTACTGCTCCTAAATCCTCTTCCAATGTTCCAGTATGAACACTCTTGTCCTTATTTACATCCTCAGTGTTAGGGATAGGCAAAGTTTCACACACATAGTCCTCAAGATAGGTTGGTGGCCTTCTCTCTCTTTTACTGGCCATAATTCCAATATTTCACAAAGTTCACAAAGTTCAAAATATTCAGCTATCCGGCTCGCGGGACCATGAAAAATAGTAAATGCTGGTTCTGGTTTCATAAGTTTAATTCATAGGTTCAGGTATCAAATACAGCTGCATGGCATCAAGGTGTCACACACACCCTCACTCAAGAGCACATGTTGTACATCTAACATGGCCTCAGATACAAAAGTCGGATTCAAGGGTGGAAGGTTATATTCCCTACAGTTACTGGATGGATTATGAAAAGGTATCATGGAGCGGAATCAGATTCACAATTACTTCTCTTTAATAACTACAACATCCTCTGCTTGACCTACATGGCCCAACAATGTCTTGCTCCCCCATATCTATCTGACCCGCTTACTCCTCACTCAAACAAACGCTGCCTTCGATCATCTAATCACGAGGTGCTGTTTGTGCCAAACTTCAGGCTTAAAACTTTTGGAAACCAGACATTTTCATATGCAGCCCCAGAGAGAGTGAGATAGAGATAGAGAGAGATAGAGAAAGAGAGAAAAAAAAAGAGAGAGAGAGAGAGTGAGTTATTATTTAACGTCACATCGGCAATATTTCAGCCACACCGTGGAGAGAGAGAGCTCCTAAAGACTGAGCCTAGGGAGTGGCATTCTGTCTAGTAAAACGGACCCGATAACAAAAATGGAACATAAATAGAATACGAAATCTCACTTACCTGGTCATGTGTCCACCACAGCCAATTGGGCGAAGGCATAACCAGGGTCAGGGGTCAAACATACTAGCTCATAATAGTGAACAATTAACAAATGTGAATTTACTCGAAATACATCCCCCCCTCCTCCCTTCAATTTATGAGAAAAAGGGTAGGAAAGGTTTCTTAAAACCTGTCACCAATTTAAATAAGACAGATAGTGTAAAAACTCAAAAGCTCAATCAGCTAGAGAGTTAGAACCGTGCCCACTGGTGAGAACTAACTGACTGACCGAACTTAACACTCTCGCTGGAGTGTCTATCAAGTTGATAGTGATGTATGAACGTACTCGGTCGGCAGCGTATGCTTGAGATGTAGCGACTGCTCTATCCAAATGAGCCTTCAGACCTTCAGGAGGTACACGACCTTTGTGAGTATAACCCATACAAATGGCAGAGACAAGCCACCTAAATATGGTTTGCTTGTTTGCCGGAAGACCAGCCTTACCCCCGCCACAACAACAAAACAATTGATTATCCTTAAGGATATCCTTTGCTCTCAGCAAATGACTGAAGGTTGAAATCCTGGTTCCCCCTGATTATGCTTTGAGAAACAAAGCAGGTGCCACATCAGCCTCACACACTATGATACACTGGAATACTTTTCAAAGTGGCATAAACCCAATCCACTCACTCAGTTTGATTCTTGTCATAAATCTAAAAGGGATAATTTCATAATAAATTAAGCCCTGTTTCATAATCTTGCCTCAGCGGCCTTCACTTGACACAGAGGTCAATCAAAGGAAATTCTGTCAAGACCAAGCCCTTCAGATCATGCATTCAAATATTTAAATATATCCTCACATAAACCTTCACTACTTAATTAATCCTTTCACTGATCCACTTTGAAAACATGCACTAAAAGTCTTGTAATATTTGACAAAATGACAACAGAAATCAAAGTAAAGGGGCACTGACCCAGAGCGATTAATGTTTCTAATGACGAAACCAAGCTGCAGGCTAGTGACTACCTGCTCCCTCGACTGTGACAGACACGGGGGCTGGGCTTCTGTCCACCATGGCAGAATTTCTACAACCTAAACAGTGGGCCATTAGGAAGGGTGGATGCCCATCAGATGCCGTTACTTGAAAATATCCCCTCCAGTTCTTGTCTGATTTTAGTATCCCAGCAGTGTAGGCTTTTTCAGATTTTCTAATGCTTGGATGGTATAATGCCATGTCCAATTTGATCCTATTTCTGTGCTTTTCACCTTGATATTTAATCATGTCATGTACAAATATTATGTATATTACCTATGCTATGATATTAAAAACACACGTTTGATGTATTCATAAACTAAACAACCCCACTTTGCCATTGCTAGAAAAATCTGAAAACGTACTTATGTAAATAGGTATATACAGTTTTTGACTAAGTGCACAGCAAATGCTTACATGCATTTCTTATGCAACAAAGAAGTTCCGCTCGCATCCTCGAAACAGTGCCGGCCATAAGGTGTTTTTTCAGGCAATCAAACTTGCATGCAATAGAGCAATTACTACTCTCTTGCTGTAAGCCTTGTTTGGTGGTAAACCTACACTTGGTATTTGTCATCATTCACTTGATGGTCAGTTAATGAATTTATTACAGGTATAATTAGTGGTAACACCACTCAGATTACCCAGCAAAAAGTTCCCATTTGGCATTTCTCATGTCTGGAGTAAATACTCATCATTATAAATGAAGGTCTGAACTGGCAAATGTATTACATCTTATGTAATATGCGCATGGAAGTGCAGCAAGAGGAATTATCAGCTGAGTTACAAAAACAAACATCGATCAAAGGATTACTGATAACACGTTGATTGATTAATTACTTTTATCTTGCACAGCAAAAGGTAGTGTTTATGCATGTAGATTTACTAATCTGAAATATGATTCATTTTGGCAATCTATAGAATGTCTAGATATTACAGTCATGTTATAAATGCACTTTATTAAGTTTCAAAATGCATACAAATATGATAATAAACTAATTGGGATTATAAGACAAAATATAAAGACGTAAATTGACTTCGTTGTTTTTCAGGCCTAACATTGTTTACCACTGGCAGATGGTTAAACTTCAAAATGTTTTCATTTGTTATCAAACTAATGAAGATGGAAATATTATCGAGTAAAAAAGATTTCATCTTTGTTGATCAGTCCATACTTATACTATCAATTGTGCATGCAGGTGGTGCAGCAAAGGTAATGAACTAGTCAAGAATTCTGGGATATCATCCGGGTAGTCACGGGAGAAAATCAGTAACAAAAGCAACAACCAGTCCAGGGAAATTGCTCCGAGATGATCAAACACAACAATGGCCCACAGTCACAATCATTGTCATTGTAAATATTCATTACTAATAATGTTCTCTTGTTCTTTGACTTAAAGCTGGTCACAAGTTCTCAGACCTGTGACGATCTGGGTTAGAACTTATCTTCACCCATGCATGTCAAAAGAGGCAACAAAAAGGATCAAGAGATCAGGCTCACTGACTTGGTTGATGCATGTACACCAACTACATGGGTCGATGACAAACATAGACCCTCAGCATACAGCTGCAAAATTAAACAAACAACAAACGAAAACATATTTCATTCTGTCTATACAAATTGTGATCAAGTTGATGGATTGGAATTTTTATTCTATATTTGTAACTCAAACATGTTGCTACAAACCTCTTATTTTTCTTCCGAATGTAATCCTTTTCAGACAGATTCACCAGATATATCACAGGTTTTGCTGTTAGATATAGAGACTTGTTCAGTTCCTCAGTCTGAAAAGACACACAAAAAATTAACACTGCACTGTACTTTACCAAGTTATAAAGTCAACTGTTTATAATGTATTCTGCATAAATACAAAGGAGAAAAGATTGAGACTGAGATGAGTTATCAGTGCCAATTAGGAACAATTACATATATTGTTAGTTATTGTTAGTAAACTTACCTCTGGACTATGGTTCCCTAATTCCTTTGGAATATTGTAACACTATCCCTAGTAATATATGTTATATTTGGGATTACACCTTCTTAGTAAAGTACAGATTCTAGTACTTTTTGGGTTGAGTCCAATCTGGGATTCGAACCCACACCCTCAGAGTCAGGCACCGAATCGCCAGCACACAAAGTCAGACGCCTAGGCCGCTCAGCCACCGCGGCTTCCACAAAAATGGAAGTCGGACAACTGGTAGTCTAGACTGTGGACTTTGTGTACCCCTCTGATAAGTGTTAATTGGCATGGCTTTCTAAAATGGCATTGTGTATTTCACTATCCCTAGTGTCATTGCTATCTCTAGTGGTATGCCTACCTAACTACAGAGTTACCTCCCCTACCTCTGACATCACTTCAATGTTATTTGAAACCCTTCACAATTTTTCTGGAAGGACAAAATATCTTATAGAAGGATTCGCGGGAGGAAGGGCGGGACGTATAACCCATAATCCAGAGGTAAGTTTACTAACAATTACTAACAATACATGTAATTGTTCCTAATTATGGCGTAAACATTCCCTCTGGATTATGGCTGCCTGAATCCCACATAAGGATGGGGGTCTATCCCTAGAAGAAGAATCCTTATATACCACTAGAGAACCAAGATCAATCCTCCTTATCTTTCTAGGATAACTATGACTTAGTAGTTTTAATGTGCTGCTTGAATTCTGGATTGTGAGGGATGCTAAGCTCAAAAGTATTGTGAGTAGCCTGTATCTTCTCATTCCTGGATTTATACTCCAAACATATTCTAATTCTCCTAATTATTGATTTCCGGTCCTCTGACATCATCTCCAGTCTTCTAACATCACTTCCGGTTCTGTGACTCCATTCCACTTTAAAATTCATCCCGCTATATTATTGTGTATGTTTTAACTAAATCACCAGTAGATCGCCAGGAAACGTGTGCACAGCCGATTGTTATTTCCGGCTCTATATACCAGACAAATACACGCGGTAATCTTAATCCCAGCAAAAACAAATTAGAACTTAAAAGGTAAATAATCTTGTCTAGTAATGCTGAATTGCAAATTTGACGTCTTTACTGACAAAGTCGTCTTCTCTGGTTTGTTTGTTCACACAAAGCGATACAATGTCATTTACCCCCTGGAAAAAAGTTTGACGAAAGTGTTACCCATAAATAAGCCAACCCCCTTCTAGAGGCTGCATTTTTTTATCCTCAAAATTCAGCTTATCTACAGTAATATATGACATACAAGTCCAGCGCTGATTTAAGGGCAAAAGAGTGGGGAAGAGACAGCTTGGGGGTCCGTTCCGGCGGTAAACAACCAGATGATCCCAGTTCCACCCGTAATTCCCACTCTGGTTCATCAAACTGAGGTGGGGCCGTGCTTGGGTAAAGTCCGTGTATTAACTCAATTTTCTCCCTAAGAGACCAAACTAGCGCAAAGTCCTCCGCCTATGTGTCCATGGGTTGAACAGTTAATAACCCCTCTTTCATAATAAAGTCTGGATGGGAGAATGGATAAACGGAAGTCCCCTCTGAGTCACAGAGGTCAGGTACCAGGGAATGATTGGCAGCTTGTCAGTATCAATGTGGTCCATAGGCCCCGTGTGTATCCCGCTTGGCACTTGGCTGCTAGACTGTTGATCCGTAGACCCGTTATCTTCCGTGGATATAGTGGTAGGCTGCCAAGAGCCAGGCCGGGAAACCCAAGCCCCAGGCGTGGGACCAGTCCAGCACTCCAGTCCCACTCCCTTGGCTTCTCCCCATGTGGGGAATGGCCTTCTGATCCAGTCAGAGCGTGATACCCGGCTTTCCCAGGTAGAGCACACCTGAGTTTCACAGAAACTGACTCTTGCCCCTGGCTGTTGCTATCGTCAACCCAGTCAGTGCAACCAGTGGTCGTCTTGCCATAATTATGTGCCTCATCAAAAAATCTCTGGAGAGAATTCATTTCAGCCTCATTCCGCATCTCCAGGTCGGGCATAGATTGACTGACCGAGGCTTGCAAATCAGCTTTAAATGATGTCAATAAATCAGAGATGGCCGACATATCCAAATGAGAGGCCTCAGATTTAGATCTCGATCTAGATTTGGATTTAGATTCCGATTTCAGAGATAAGGAAGGGGATGCCAGGGAGGGTTTTTTAGCCCTACTGCTTTCTGATGATGGCGAACTTTTGCACTTTTTAGTCTGAGATCTAGCAGTGTCCATACTAAACCAGTCTTTCTCAGAGAGTTCAGAACGGCAAAGATCCTGAGGCAAGGGGTCCCTGTGAAACAAGATAAACATAAAGAGTGTGGGTCTAAATCTGACATGAACTTTTGACACTGCAAGCATTTGTTCTTAGCCATACCTAAAGTAGAAGACATAGGGACAAAGAGAAAAACGGGCGAGAACAATTAAATTACAGATGGGAATGCAAAAATTTGATTGTCCCTAAGACCAAGGCGACAGAATTAACTATTAAAGATCACATATACTCTAGGGGGGTACAAATACATGAATCACTAATTGGCATCGTTATAAATGAAACCCTGTCATTAAAACTACTCTTTTCGATCTTTAATTAACTTAAATCGACCTTTTTGACAACAGTGCACAATTCTCACACGCAAACGAAATTTCAACCAATCAGAGCGGCACGTCTCTGTGACGTCATATGAGGAATAGATATGATGGCCGATGCAGAATTCATGTACATTTCAGGGGGTAAATATCTTGTTTACAGGTTTGTATAAACCTGAAATCGTGACAACTGTTGTGAAAAATGAAGGCTATATGTTCTCACAATCTACTGTCATTTAATTTTGTCTCCTGCTTTGCCTAGTTACAACTTGTTTTCATAGACAATTCCGTCAAAATTGCTTGGTGTCGCTAGGCCTTATTTTATCAGCCTCGCTCATCACGGTTACAGTTAATTTCTTCAACCTAAACAGTGCGACATTAAGAAGGGTGGATGCCCATCAGATGCAGTTATTTGAAAATATCCCCGATAGTTCTTGTCAGATTGTAATAAAGTATCAAAGGAGTGTGGGCTTTTTCAGGTTTTCTAAAACCTGGATGGTATAATCAGGGAGACTATATAAGGGGGAGTGGTCACTCCTCGGAAAGCCCCTTAGCGTATGCCTCGGCTCGTCACGTGACCAGTGTAGGCAATATGGCAGCAGCGTAGTTTTTAAGATTGAGCCCGGTTTATTTTCAACAGCTGATTACATAAGCTGAGTGTTGTGACAACTGAAAACCTACATGTAGAAGATAAGTTACCTATTCTGTCACTTCATTTTAAGTCAAATAATTGTTATTAGTGTCAGTATTAGTACAGTAGATTTGTAGTAAAGTTTCAAGTTGGCATGTTGTAGCTCACTGGCTTCAATTCTCAGTACACAGCGAAGAAAGACTAAATTATATCGCTAAAAACTTCTTTCACATATTCATTTAATTTTAGGAAGGGAAATAAACCTTTAGTTGAAAGGTGTTTGCAAGAAATAGTGATAGTTTTATAACTAAAACAAATTTGTTGGGGTGTATTTGAGCAGAGACAATATAATCATATGGTCTCTGATTTGAGGTGTGTGAAAAATATGACATATTGTAGTGTTATCGAGTAGTACTGCCTGCTCGACTAGTCACGCCTTACAGCTACGGGCGACTAATGTCACGTGGTGTACAGCAGACGATAAATAAAGATGGCAACCTAACACAACGTGCTTGTCGTCTGTCGTCCATAGTAGCGTGTCCAACGCCAAGTTCCAAAGAACCGCGACAGCATTAGACGCTACACTGGTGTCAGAAGTGACTAGTCTTCGCAAGTGCCTTCTGTACGGGGTTAGACTAGACGGTCTGATCTATCCTCTGTACAACGATTCTGAAGCGGTCCTGTCCCTTCAGCGGCTTCGGCGGACTCCGGTGAGATCGTTCTTAATCCCGTAACTGCACAAGAAGATATTGTCAGGAGCGTAAAATACTTGTTCACGATTAACCTTGTACTTATCTTTGAGTACAATTTGCTTTTCATTGACAATTTCTTGGGATTTTCATTCAATCGACATTTGAACTGACAGGTTGTCAGAAATTTCTCTGCTGTGTTTTGGCGATCCGTCCTTGTTTCCTGTTATCTAAGAACTGTGCTCGGTTTGGACGATACGTTCATGTTCCCGGACATAAATTCGTGGTTTTAATGTGAATTTCTTGCATTCATCATACATTTTCGCAGAGTTACATCACAAATTGTGTTCATTGTTGTATTTGAATATGATTGGTGTACTTTTCAAGACTATTTCTCAACATTACATGTTAAATGAGTGTCCATGATTTATTTCACTTTGTGAACTCAAAATCCAGAGAGAAAGTGATAACGGTGTCTGAACCAAGCAGATTTGCAGTGCTTTTAAGTGACAGTAAAGGCTTCTACTTAAAACGGCTACTTAAATCTTCATCTAAGCTTCCTCTGGACTTTCTATGCATAAGTGGAGCAAATGCCAAAACATTAGTTGATGAATTAGACAGGAAACTTCCACCTCTTATTGAACAGAAACAGAAAACAGCTATTGTGTATGTATGGATTGGCACTTGTGACGTAACCCAAAAGTGCAAGAGTTCAAAGATAATTAATGTGACCTGTTGGAATAACTCTACTGTAGACTCAGTGCATAGTGAGTTGTTAAGAGCTAGGGACATTGCATTGAAGCTAAACTGCAGAATCAAGTTCATTGGACTTCCCCCCAGTATCTGTATCAGTTTGGAACGAAGTGAACGCCAATCAGAGACAGCCAAGCTGGATACACTCAGATACAGAAGTGGCAAGACAAACCAA